ATCTTGGCTTACGAGCTGGCATCCTTGCGCCGCTTAAAATCTCGTCTATTGGCCTCGTCTTTCCATTTTTTAAAAATGGGGACCTATGGGCACATCTATAGAAGATAGTAGTATACCCTAAGCTCTTAGTCTTAGTCTCTACTCTACTCGATATAGAGAAAATGGGGGTCTTCCAGCCCCTCCCTTAGCTAGTTAGAGCTATAGGGCCCCTGGGGCTACCTAAATGTCGATTAGCGCAGAATCGTGCTGACTAGTTAGAGCTATGCGGCTCCTAGGGCTACCCGAATATTAATTAGCGTAGAATCGCGCTGACCAGTTAGAGCTATAAGGCTCCTAGGGCTACCCGAATATTGATTAGCGCAGAATCGCGCTGACTAGTTAGAGCTATGAGGCTCCTAGGGCTGCCTAAATATTAATTAGCGTAGAATCGTGCTAACTAGTTAGAGCTATAAGGCTCCTAGGGCTGCCTAAATGTTAATTAGCGCAGAATCGCGCTGACTAGTTAGAGCTATAAGGCTCCTAGGGCTACCCAAATATTAATTAGCATAGAATTACACTTTTTTATTCTAATAGCTTACTCTAAAGCTGTTAAGATCCAATCAGGGATCTCACATGTATCGTAATAATGTTTATTAGGCACTAACTAAGACAACCTCAAAGAAGGGCGCTTAGAGGTCACGTGACTAATAGATACAACAGCTGCTATTAAGTCTATTATAGATCTAACAGCGTCTGTTAGATCTATCACGTGTCCTATATAGGAACTTAAGCATAAACTCTTATACTTATGTTTAACCTATTTATCAATCTATCATTTGGATTACACTTAGGCCATATTATTGACTCGTTATATCCTCCTCTGATACTATCGTCTCGACATAACCCCTTCCCTTCCCTTAGTTATCTTGCCCGAGAACTAACCTTAACCCTTTAGGACTAGCTACCCTTCTAGATTTAACATCTTGAATACCCTTAATATGGCAACGAGGACTCCTACTTCTTCCACGTTATTAGACGGTGCTATAATTACTCCCATAAGCAACTCTAAGAGTAAGGTATATAAACCTAATTTATATTATAGTGACTATAAATACACTAATATATAGCTACTTTAGTTGGACCTCTACTTCTTTGACAACAATAAAGATCTTAATAATAAGAAGAAGGTTATCTTCATAGCCACCTATATGTAAGGCGACGCTAGAGATTGGATTTAACCCTACGTTACTAAGTACCTAGGAATGAACCATAATAACTATAATGAAGAATACCTCAACCTCTACGCCAACGTAATTAATATCGTTGAAGACTACCTAAACTTTAAGAAGAGTCTCTAATAGATATTTAGAAT